GGGGCAGACAGGGAGGCTCCGGAGGGGCTGTTCTGGGCCCCGGCTGGCATGCACGTGTAGCTGTGCCTGGGGGTACATGGTATCCAGTACAGAAATGCTTGGTGGGGGGACGTGTGACAACACACGAGGATCCCCCGTGCAAGGGACAAGGCCCCACTTTGCCGACTGTCATGACTGTGATGTACTGGGGGGGCCGGGGTGGTCGGGGATCCTCTGCGGTCGGGGCTCCGGGAAGACCCGGTGAGTGACACCTCGCTCCTGTCCCTACTCTGTGTCAGGCTGAGCAACGCCAAGAAACAGGCAGTGCATACGGTCATGGGCATCTGGATGGTGTCCTTCATCCTGTCAGCCCTGCCTGCCGTCGGCTGGCACGACACGACTGAGCGCTTCTATACCCACGGCTGCCGCTTCATTGTGGCAGAGATCGGCCTGGGCTTCGGCGTCTGTTTCCTGCTGTTGGTGGGTGGCAGTGTGGCCATGGGTGTGGTCTGCACAGCCATCGCCCTCTTCCAGACACTGGCTGTGCAGGTGGGGCCGCGGGCCGGCCGCCGCGCCTTCACCGTGCCCACCATCGTGGTGGAGGACGCCCAGGGCAAGCGCCGCTCCTCCATTGACGGCTCTGAGCCCGCCAAAACCTCGCTGCAGATCACGGGCCTGGTGGCCACCATCGTCATCATCTACGACTGCCTCATGGGCTTCCCCGTGCTGGTGGGTGAGACTGTCAGCTGGCGGGAGCCTGTCAGGGGGACTTGGGCTCCGGGACAGCCCTGGGGTCAGGCACGCTCCAGGCGTCAGGTGGTTGAATCCTCCCACCCAATCCGTGGCAGGGGGCGGGGGGGGGAGGCATTATCATCATCATCATCCCATTTTGCAGATTTGGAAACTGAGGTTCAGAGAGGTAAAATGACCCACCTAAAGTTAAGGCAGCTGTATTAGGACTTGAGCCCAAGTCAGATGACTGCAGACCCCAGGATCTTTCTGGCACACTGTAGGGACATTTCTTACCAGAGTGAGGCCCATTCAAGCAGAGGATGTAGAACGTGGAGTAACATGACCACCTGACCCCAAGAATAAAGTCTGGATTCAACAGCCATGGCCTCGCACCCACAGGGCTCCAGCCCAGCCCCCTGAAGGGTCTGGAGTGGGACAGGAAGGGGTCTAGGGGCAAGGACCAGCCCGAGACTTTGTCCAAGCAGCTAGGCAGGGCTGTGTCCCTGGAGTCATGGCAGAACACTAGCTCCCGAAGGTGACAAGTGGGGTGGCAGCCTCATAGGGGACAAACTCAGGATGTAGTCCCAGGTAACCTGTGGGCCCACCCTCAGTGGGCCCGCTACCCCCTCCCCCAGGGGCTGGGTTCTCCTGTGTGCAGTGGGGCCCTACATCTCCAGTCTGTGCTGATGGAGAGAAGGAGCGTGTGTAGAATTGCAGAGCCACAAGGGGACAGCAGTGGAGGAAGAGCGTCCCCCCACCTTCCCTTCAGGGCATGGAAAGGGGTGCTGTTTATGGAGCTCACTCCACACTGCAGGCCTGGTATGGTGTCTGAGATCTTTACTTCACACTGTGGGGTGTTCTTGGCCCATTTCATAGATGAAGAAACTGAGCCCCAGAGAGGTTCAGCACTCTTCCGAGGGTCACACAGCTCGCATAGTGGAACCAGTGTGATGAGTGTATCATACCCACTCTGCTCTGATGGGGGACTAATTAAATGTCACTCTGGGTGGGGGAAGGAACTCTCCTGGGGGGAGAGTTCCCTGCATCCACCACCATGCAGGGGAAGAGCGAGGAGGCCACTGGCCGCGGAGGAGTGAGGATGGCAAAAGTCCCTGAACTGGGAAGCTTGGGACCTGGTTCTCCAAACCTCGGTTTCCTCTTCCCAAAAAGGGATTGGTAAAGCACACCCCCACCTCTCTCCTTGGGCAGTCATGAGGCCGACGTGAGGCAAGGCCCGCCCCGTGCTGCCCGGCGTCATGTGAAGGACCATCTGTGCACTCGGTGGGTTCTGGCCGTGCATCTGGGCAGCCAGCGGCTCTTGCCGGACACGGACTTCTACCCTCACACTCTGGCTCCTTCCGGCCCAAGAGCCCATAGCTGCGTCTGCTGCCTCTTCCTCCCGCACGTGGGAGAAGTGAGGGGCGAGGGGAGAGGGGGGTCCTGCCAGGTGCCAGGCCGAGCCCTGTGCCCACAGGTGGTGAGCTTCAGCAGCCTTCGGGCGGACGCCTCGGCGCCCTGGATGGCGCTGTGTGTGCTGTGGTGCTCCGTGGCCCAGGCGCTCCTGCTGCCCGCGTTCCTCTGGGCCTGCGACCGTTACCGCGCCGACCTCAAGGCCGTCTGGGAGAAGTGCGTGGCCCTCATGGCTAACGACGAGGACTCGGACAATGGTGAGGATGACCTGGGAGAGGCCCCAGGGAGAAGGGGGCCTGGACGAGGTCAGCAGGGTGACAGCTGTCAGGTGACCACCCCATGGCACCGAGGGGACCCCTTGCTCAAATGGCCTTGAACCCCTAAGGGACCTAAGTGTCTCCTGGGGTGTTCTCCTCTCAGGTGAGTCCCCCAGCCCCACAGCCAAAAGGTGGCAGAGCCAGGATTTGAACTCAGGACTCTGCCCTGTGTGTGTGTGTGTGTCTGAGTGTGTCTGAGGGTCCCTGGAACTCACTCTCCGATGCCCCCAGGTTTCCGTGGCCCCTAAGCTTTTGCCCCACCCTGCAGATACCAGCCTGGAGGGTGGCATCCCCCCGGACCTGGTGCTGGAGCACTCTCTCGACTACAGCTATGGAGGTGACTTTGTGGCCCTGGACAGGATGGCTAAGTATGAGCTCTCTGCCCTGGAGGGGGGCCTGCCCCAGTTCTACCCGCTGCGGCCCTTGCAGGAGGACAAGACACAGTACCTGCAGGTAGGGCACCGGGCAGGGCCCGAGACCCCCAAAATGCGGGTGTGTGTTGGGGGGGAAGTATCGTGATCTCCCCAAGGCCTTTCCTCTCTGAGCCGCGCGTCGGTCCCCGTTTTCCAGGAGGGCAGCCCGGGTTAACCCCGCCCGTCCTGACAGGTCCCGCCCACGCGACGCTTCTCACACGACGACGCCGAAGTGTGGGCCGCCGTCCCGCTGCCCGCCTTCCTGCCGCGCTGGGGCTCGGGCGAGGACCTGGCCGCCCTGGTGCTGCCCTCTGGGTCTGACCGGCGCCGCGGCAGCATGCTGGCCTTCGCCGAGGACGCGCCCCCGTTCCGCCCGCGCCGCCGCTCG